TCATAGTAAAAAAGGTGATCCTTGGTAGATTTGAGGGCATTTGTATTACATAAATGGGACATCCACTCACACAATTATGTGCAAAATGATCTGGCATCATGTGATGCATTGGATGAGGCTGTGTATTTCCGAACCATCTAAGTCCATGGTTGCACATTAAAATCCCATGTTGAAGCCGGGCGCGGTGGCTCACGCTTGTAATCCTAGCACTCTGGGAGGCCGAGGCGGGAGGATGGCTCAAGATCTGGAGTTCAAAACCAGCCTGAGCAAGAGCAAGACCTTGTCTCTACTATAAATAGAAAGAAACTAATTGGCCAACTAATATACATAGAAAAAATTAGCCGGGCATGGTGGCTCATGCCTGTAGTCCCAGCTACTTGGGAGGCTGAGACAGAAGGATCGCTTGAGCCCAGGAGTTTGAGGTTGCTGTGAGGCAGGCGATGCCACAGCACTCACTCTAGCCTGGGCAACAAAGCAAGACTCTGTCTCAAAAAAAAAAAAAAAAACAACACAACAAAAAACAAAAAAACCCATGTTGAGCTTCAAAAACTACTTTGCCCTGTCTACTTCCAGAAACCTTAATTGGTAAGAGATGAAGCCCAGACATTGATGTTTTTAAAAAAGACCTCAGGTGGTTCTTAATGTGCAGTTAGATTAGAGAAAAATAAACCAATGATTTTAAGGTGAGTTGCAGCCAAACGATTTTTACTGATATCTATTTTTATTTTAATTATAGAGAATGAAATGTAGTCTGTGAGGTACTGTCAGAAAAAAAATCATTCCCAACATATGTTTATAAAACATTGAAAGTTTATACTCCAAACTGTACCACAGTGTGTGTCAGGGGCATGGTGATATGAATAAAACATGGAACCTGGAATCTAGTTTTGTTTCAGACCAGCACAACGTATTAAAAGTTTAATAGGACTAATCATACTGTCTGCTCACCCTACCGCACAGTGTTGGAATTAAACAAAGTGCTAATAGATGCAAATATATTTGATAAAATTAGAAAGATTTATACAAGTGTGGGGTATTGTTTTTGTGTTTTTTTGCAGTCCCATTTATGACGGATTGTGTTTGTGTGTGCATATGTGTACTTATAAATATTTATATAAATATGTATTATGAAATATGTGTATTTATAGGTACATATGTACAGAAATACATATAAATAATGTCTTCACATACATACATATGTAGACAAGGTAGCCACTGGGCCCCTGGAAGAAAGGGGGTGCCTAGAGAGCACTATGCACACACAGAGAAACCACTCAGCCACAGGAGCTGATAAGCCCCAGGACAGAGCTACCTGCAGCCTCACCTTTGTGCTGTTAGGATTTCCTGATACGTCCCTAAGGATGACCAAATAAGCTTCATGCCTTGTTTCTGTTTCTGTCCTTGGATGACATCTGTAGAAATTACCTCCAGGTAAGGGATTGTTGTCATTGAGGATCTTTAAGATGAAGACTACCCTTCCAATGATTAGCAGAGACACAAGATGGAAATAAAAGATTTTATTACTTATGGGCCCTGGGGTGTACACAGCATGCCCAGAGTCCACACACGCGGAGGTCAGGGAGCACGTGAAGAGAGAGAGAAGAATCTACGGACCAGTGACTTTACGGAGTCTAGGGTGTTATCCGAGAAGGTTTCCTGAGGGGAGTTTGAATTGCTGGGTTTAGTTAGAGCAAGCAGGCAGGAGGTTACTCTGTGCCCAAGAGGTGGTCACTGTGACACATGTGCACAGTCCATGCAAATGGGGTGTAGGGGTCGGCGGGGCCAGTCCAGCTTTCCTATGGCTGTCCCATAGGAAAGTGTTCACCAGGAGAACATTGAATATGGCAGACATCTGGATCAACCACATTGAAGAACTGGCTGGGGGTGGGGGTGGGGGTTGTATAGAACTGGAAACTGTGTCAGTGGTGACTGAGTCCTGCTTCTGGTATGAGAAAGCAAAGTTTATATTCCAAATGAATGCGGAGGCAACAAAAAAATTATAAGAATTCGCTTTATGGCTATAACACAGAGGGTGGCATGGGGACCGGGGTGCCCCAGAGAATCATGGCCACTTTCCCAGCTCTCAGACGAACGCATTCATGTGGGTGCAGCAAAGAAGTTTATAGATGGGCCACTGCTAGGAACGGGCCCCCCTCAGAAGATGAGGGGCCCTTCTCAGGAGGTCTTTTCAATTCTCCTCGATCCCAGGTTCCATCCTTCCCTATGTTGAAACTCTCAGGGAAGAAAGGAGTTCTGGGCTTTCCATCCCTGTTTTGGGGCAGGGAATCTCTCCCATGGCCTCAGGTTCTCCTCAGTAGGGGAGGATTGTCAGCCCAATAGGCTGGTGTGTGTGTGTGTGTGTGTGTGAGAGAGAGAGAGAGAGAGAGAACAGGCAGACCCGAGGGAGCACAGCAGCTCTGGAAGAAGAGTCTAATGGGAAAAAAGGGTGTCAGTGGGTGTGCTGCTAAGTCACATTAAGGGAATTTGGTAAAAATGCAAAAGTGTGTGGTGGGTCCCTTTCTCACACAACAGCCTAGAACGCACCTTCCACACAGTGTGTCCTCAGGGAGGATTAAGAAATTTGGAGTCAAGGACGTTGTTTGGGATCCTGATTTCTTTGCTTCCTAACTTATTTTCTCCTCTATCTTGGGATTTTTCCAGATATCCAAGGTCTCTAATTGAAGCTGGGATAAGGGAAGGTTACCCAGGGTCTTGCTCAGCTCAGGATGCAATTTGTTTTAATCATTTAAGGGAATCCAAGAGGGAGTAGTGGCCAGGGGTTGAGACAGTACTTCTACCTTCGTTCTCCCTCTCTCATCCCCAATAGCGAGATCGCCACTGCTGGCGCTAGATGTGATTCCCTTTGGTCCCCGTGGAGAGTCCGTGGGCCTGGAGGAGCAGATGTGGGTCACTAGGACATTTTCATGGCAGTATCACTCTGTTCTTCAGGTTCCTTTTCCACAGCTTCCAGAAAGCTCTTAGTGTTAGAAGATAGTTGTTCTTGGATCCCTGGGAGAAAGTGGTCTGTGTTTAAGTCTCAATCCTGCTCCTAGTCAGCCCTGGGACCCCAGGCCATTTGCTGCATGTCATCTCCCTCCTTTGGCCTGTTGAATGAAAGCACTTTGTCAACTATAAAATAGTACACAGAGTTAAAGTATTATTATTAAGTTCTGGTGTGTGCATGGTGGCTGGCTTGGTTTCTGTTGAGTATATGTATATATGGAGAAATAACTTCAACATTAAGGGTCAGAAAATTTAAAAGTGTGACTGCTGAGGGGCATGGAGGGAAGAAAAGAGCACAGTGCATACATTTCACAGAGTGTGGTCAGTTGCATACACTAGAGGGAAGAAGCTGGGAGGCAGGAAGAGGAAAAGCTGGCTGGGCCTTATGTTAAAACCTGTGAGAGATGACTTTTCTAATGTGAGGAGGTGGTGATTTCAAAGCTCTCTCCCTAAGGTGGCTCACATTTGACCATTAGGGATTCTTTTCTTTGGATGAAACACCATCCTTTCACCACAATTCTCATTTAAATTATAGATCTTTCTGGAAGGGGTAACATGTTAAGCCATCTATTTCTTTTCTTGTTCATTTTCCTACATGACGGGGAAGCCTGGTTAAAATTGGCAGCATAGGATTATCTGGGTGGGGAAAATTGAAACCAGGATAGGAGACAAGAGAGAGATTTCTGAGATTCTTTTCACTCTTCACAATTTTGCTTAGATTTCAGTTTCCCCAGCCAGGGGTGGGGTCGGGGGGAGGTGGGTTTGCTGAGCGGGTAAACTCCAGGAGTACTCCAGGGTGTCTGCTAAGACTGGAATTGAGTCAGGAATGATATGTTAACAGAGAGCTGGGAGGGCAAATCCCTGGTTTCCAGACCTGAATGGCACTTCTGTTCCTTCCCTGTGTGCTACGGAGTGTGTTGGCCAAGCACGATGGAAACACAGCATTCCCGGGCAGAGCACCTTGTGCTTCTGCAGAGAAAATGCCTTTCCCTCCTCAGCTTGTGTCACCCTGGTTGCATTCTGACCTGAGGGAAACGTGTGCTAATGCTAATTAATAAATAACCCATCGCAGTTCACAAAAGCCTTTCAAAGCCAGCATGGCATTCGGTTCTCGCACATTTCTTTCAGGCAGCTAGATGAAATTCTGAGTCTAATGAGTGGAGGAGGAAGTGAGAGCTCAGAATTGCTTAAGGTTACTCTCTTGGAAAGTCATGAAGTTGCCTGGAAGCCACAGGGCTGGCCCTGTGCTTTAAATCACACTGTTTGTCGACAGTAACAGTGGTGGGAGCTTCTCTTGTGAGAATATCAGTTTGTTTTTATTTCCCCAGCTCATCTCTGAGGCAAATAACACCTATGAGGGCCAATGTGAGGCTCGGTGTGTGAAATGCTAAGAAGACTCCATGAGGAGAAAGGAGACGTGGTAAACCGAGTGCCTGTGCGGTTACTCTTGAGCAGCAGTTTTCTGGCGCCATCTACTGCTGCATTGAAGTAATGGCCGATGAATAGCTCTTGGTCATAGAAGGACGATGGTTGTAGCAAAGTGAGTTTGTTGAGTGACACAGCTGAGTTTTCCTCAAACTAGGGTGTGCGGGTCCTTGTCCTTATTTCAGTGGTTTGTGAGAATTTTGTTTCTTTAAAAATTGTCTCCTCAGCCATAAATTGGGAATGAAATAATGTCTTTTGTAGTAACTTGGATGGAACTGGACACCCTTCTCCTAAGTGAAGTATCTCAAGAATGGAAAAACAAATACCACAAGTTCTCACTAATAACTGAGAGCCGAATGACAGGCATACATGGCAATAAAGTGGTATAAAGGACATTGGAAAGTAAGAAGGGGAGAGGAGGGAGGGAGAGAGAGGGACAAAAACTTATGTATCAGGTACAGCGTACACTATCTTGGTGACAGGCACACTAAAAGCCTTGACTTCAGCATTATGCAATTCATCCATGTAACAAAAACACCGTATCCCCTTAACAGTTTTAAATAAATAAACTAATTGGATTTAAAAATAAATAAATTTAAAAAATTGCTCCCACAGATATACTTAGGGCTTTTGAGGAAAGATCTGAGGTACAAATTCATAGTAATTCTGTCTTATTAATTATACTCAGGAGTAGTAGCATGTTAGGAGGGTAACAGAGAAAGAACACTAATTACCCCAAAGGAGGGCTCCCGCTGCTAGACTCTGAGCCACCTGAGGGCAGAGACCAGTTTAGTAATCTTCATACGCTAACCTAGCACACACCTGCCACATAGTAGGCACTGATAAAATACATGATCACTCCGTCACTGATGGGACGATTTTGGCACAGTGGTGTCTGGATGAGGAAAATGTACTCTCATAGTCTTCTCAGGCAATGAGTGAGCTATGCAATTCTTCTCTTATTTCCACAGAGCCCAGTGGTCTGAGCATGGAGGTTATACACCTCTAAGAAAGGGCTAAAATACCAACCTAATCCTTTTGTAGCGACAGGGCTAGATTTTGTTATTAAAGGAGAGTCAAGGAATATGAAAAGATGAGAGCATTTAAAGCAGAGAATGGAGAGGATGTGAAGAAATCCATTTGCAGGCCCCATCTTCAATACCCAGGATTAAGATTAGAGACAGAGCCTCGAGCTAAGGGATGGGGCTAAACTTAGACCTGTTCCTCGAGCAGGAACAAGTCTAAGTTTAGAACAGTTTCCACTGGGGCACAGATTCCTGAGACACATCTCTTACCTCTAAGAATGAGCTGCAGAAGGGATACTTGGAAACACATAGTTTGCTCTTCAGCCTTCTTGCTCTTGGTAACCTCAGGTGAAAGACATCACCAGACATCCTTAGCCCTCGATGTCACCAGGCTACTTGTTGTGGGCTGTGGGGAGGTCACGGAGCAGCATCTGCTAATGTTCAATGTAACATCCACGTAGAACGGCACATGCTTCCTGAAATGGGAATCGATCTAATGAGGCAGAGTCTACAGTGATGATATTTCCCTTTCATTTTTATTTTATTTCTACACTCACTTTCAGCATCAGCTATGAGTGTGAACATGTATATGAGTCAAAATATGCCTTTACATGTGACTATTTAAAGGAAACTATAGTTAATTTTTTTTGAAAAGCCAAGAATCTTTTTGCAAAGTAAATAATCATCACACAGTTCAATTGATGATCTATGACTTAGCTAGGATGTGTTCATTGAAAGCTCTCTGTTGTTAAATACGTGTTGTATGGTTAAGGGAATATAGAAGTACATTTAGTCTTTGACCAAGAAGTGGATTGGCTGGTAAGTTTTTATGGAGGCCAAAATGCATGTTTCTTATTTATAACATTATAAATCATGAATAGGTTCCCAGATCAACCCTCTAAAATCAATTAAATCTATGATGTAGATGAAATAATAAAATTTGTAACTGAAGTAAAAAGAATGCTGATAGAATAATGAAAATTATAAATGAGATAAAAATTTTAGATAGAAATATATTTTTAGTTCTCATTAAGATGTTTGAGTAAATGTAGTGTTAGAGAAACATAAAGAGACCGTTGTAAAGCTTGAAGGACTCCAAGAATTTGGGATGTTGGTTGTACTGATTCTTGTGCCTAATTTAATTTAAAAACATGTAGCTTCCTCTCTTTGAGTAGATCTGTACTCCAATAGCTTTTACTTACCAATTAAGCAATTTCTGCCTCAGATTAGAAAGAGAGGGACTAAGAAGAGATTTTCCTGGACTTAGTGGGTAAGATCTAGGAGATAAAGATGGAGGATAGAGTTGGAAAAAAATACGTATGGGTGTCAAAAAGAGATATCCTGGTCTGCAAGTAGATTACTGACCTGTTAAGTAGAGAAATTAAGAAAATCAACTCATAAGAGTTTGCACAACTTCCCTGATTCCTGAAGGAAGAGAATCTGTGTTCACTGGGGTTTCCACGTTGACTGACAGTTATGTATTTAAAAGGAGAATGGCATATTGCATGTTTGATGACTTTTGAAAAGTCATTTGCAAAGTTGTTTCTTTCACACAGCAACACGATACAGTGGTTTGGTAATGTAAATTTCAATTCGGAGATCTTATTCAAAATCTAAATTCACCCTCCACTCCTCAACCCCCTTTAAAGTTGCTGTTTTTGATTCTTATACCACCTGTGAAGAGCCCAACATGGGCTTCTCAGGGTGACATCCCATAAAATCCTATGGCAACCAAGCTTTCCATAACAAGTACCCAGCTGGCTTTCTGTCTCTATATATGTCGTCTAACAGGCAGGCAGCTGTGAGTCATCAAATACATATTGGGGCCATTTGGGAGATCATTTTTATAAAGATGAAAAATGTGTTTGAGTGTTTATTGGTGTCGTCACTTCAGTGTGAGATAAAGAAGTGCCATCAAGTGGCACAGTGGGCCCTTAGAGCACGGTCCTGGGACCAGCCTCTGCAGCATCACTTGGGAACCTGTTAGGAAAGCAGTTCTCAGGCCCCACCCAGACCGACTGAGTCAGAAACTCTGGGAGTAGGGTTCAGTAATCTGCATTTCAGTAAGTCCTCCTGGCGATTGTGATGCAAGCGAGCTCAAGTTTGAGAACCACTGGGTAATATGCAGATGAGGTCAGGAGAACTAAGGAAGTAGGCCAGGGAAAGAAGCCAGCTCAGGGCAACTCCCTCCAAAACACTGATGTTATTACGTGGCTGAAAGCAATCTGAGTATTAAGAATGACGTTGCTCGGGGTTAGGAAATGAACCAGGCACAGCCAGAGGGAGAGAGGGAAAGGATGAGGTTACTACTGCTTTTCTCTTGAGGTTGAAGCTGAGAGGGTTGATCAGGTCTGCAGCACCTTATCCAAAATTCCAACATCACAGAAGCTCTGAAAATCAAGAATTTTACTGTAAGTTTGGCACCAAAACTCATTGGTGGCAAAGCCTGATTGGAATTCGTGTGAGGTTATTTCTACTCATTATGTTTATCCCACTTAGAGGGACTATTCTTGTTTTGCTTTGATAATACAAATACATGTGATTATGGGGTATGGTCCCAGATCCTGCTCGAGCTCTCGGTAATGCACCATATTTGCCTTCTAAAATTTTGAGAAATCCTAAATTGTGAGGATTTAAGATAAGTGATTGTGGATCTGGATGTGTTTAAGAGCTTCTGATCATTTCTCAAGGCTAGCCGATTGAAGCCAACTTCCTTTTCTTCCTTCTTGCTCTCTGCTGTAGTCACCCAGCTGCCTGAAATGTAGGGTCCTCCCAGCCAGGGGCTGACTTAGACCTAGGATAACTCTGCTGGGGAAACAGCAGTTCTGTGAGCCTCTAAGAAAGAGGAGATTTCCACCTTCTCTCTCCGATGCACCCCAGATTTTTAATTCCTTGAACACAAAGCCACAGCTTGAACTGCTTCGAGCAACAATACCTTACACAGAGCCCTGTGTGCTGAATGAATGGAAGAGACCTCGTGATAAAAAAATATAATCCGGGAGATGCAAGAGAGCTCCAGTGTCTAGGGTTGAGGGAATTCTCTTTTGCCATCTTCTTACTACACCACTGAACTCTCAGAGCAAGGACCAACTGGAAGAGAAGGTAGAGATTATCCTTCCCCCCTTTTGTCTTTTTAAACTAACTAAATTTTATTTTGAAATTTTGATTTTATTCGTTTTTCCATAATATGCTTTTCCTATTTACTCATCATGTCTCTTTTAGTCTCCTCTTGGCTGTGACAGTTTCTCAGACTGTTCTCATTTTTTGACGACCTTGACATTTTTGAAGAGCATTGGTCAGGTATTTCGTAGAATTCTCTTCTACTGAAATTTGATGTTGTTCCCCTGATTAGACTGGGGTTGTGGGTTTTGGGAGGAAGGCCACAAAGGTACAGTGCCATTCTGATCACATCATATTAGGTGCTGTGGATCGCTTGTTATCTGTTTATATCATGGTCCCAGCCTTGGATCCTCCAAGGTGATGCTTAGCTCTGTATTCAGAGTGGAGTCCTGGCTGGCTCACCTGTGCCAGTCTATACACATTTTGCCAGTGAAAATAACCCAACTCAAACTTAACTGGGTAAAGGAATTTCTTGATTCACGTTACTACAAAACCCAGAACACTGGTTTCAGGCAGAGCAGGATCCAGGAACTCGATCATAGTCATTCAGAATCTGCCTCTTAGTATATTGGCTTTGTTTCTTTTGGCTTGCCTCCCTTTTTACAAAATAGCCCTCTTCACATTTTAGAAAAGGTGATTCCTAGACACTTCAGAATCTTTGATCCTCAGAGCTAGAATTTTGGGGAAAAGAGCATGCTTTTTCGTGGAAGTCCAGCAGAAGCCCCAGGAAAAGGTTTCACTGGCTTAGTTTAGATAAGTGGCTTATTCGAGCATATGGGGCAGGGATGCCCTGCTGTGCTTGGCCAGCCTGAGTCACACGCCCATTGCTGGAGCTGAGGGCACCGGGCCAGCCACACCTAAACCACACACACACACACACACACACACACACACACACACACACACACACACACACACACACACACACAGAGAGACTTCTCCTCCTGTCCCCAACAGTCCACACGCTCCGTAAGAGGAAGAATTTCCATTTTGTTCACTTTATCTTGTGCCTACATCAGTCTCTGGCTTCTGCTGGGTGCTCATGAACAATCTGTCGAATGAGTGAAAGACAACACAAGCAGATTAAATAAGAGAGGGAGTGAAAGGGCAGATCACGAAAGAATGAACTGGTAGCCTAGAGGACATCAGTGGCAGCTCTGCTGAGCACATCCGCCATGCTGGGGCCCAGAAAACAGCTGTGCCCTGCACAATGCATCTGTCCTCCTGCCTGGCAAGGCCTTAGGACCTCGACTTCTAGACCGCTTTCCATAGGCAATCTTGAGCCTGCTAGTCACAAGATATGTGATCTTAGACAAAGCATTTACTTTTTCAGCCTTAATTTTTCTATCTGTAAAATGAGAATTCTGTGTTTCTTACCTGATAGGGACTAAATGCTAGACCTTGCATAGAACTCTTAAGAGAGTCATCCACACAGAGTGTGCTCAGTAAATGCTTGCTCTTCTTGGTTGTGGTATTTGTGGCAATACTAGGAGATGTATGATCTGTTGGAGGTTTTATAGAAGGGATTTATGCTCTGGACTGGACATTGGGCAAGATGGTGACTCAGCCTCTTATTAATTCTAAGTCAGTGGCTTTAGTTGTCAATCTGAGTGGAGACTAATTTTCTTTTTCTAACCATAGCAAAGCTCACTCAGTGGTTTGCTTTGAGTAGGGTATTTTTCCTTAGAAACATATACAGGTAGTTTTGCAATACAGCACAGTGCAGTGGTTAAGAGCATGAACTATGAAGCTAGATCACATGAGTTCATTTTTTGACTCTACAACACACAAGTTGTGACATTGAGCAGTTATGAAACCACCCTCTGCCTTGATTATTTTTTTCATATTTAATGTGGAGCTAATAGTAAAGGGGCTAAGCCTACTGTTCTCAATTTTTCTTAGACCTTGTAGATAGATACCTGTTTGGGCAAGCACACAGAGTGGGTGTGTCACCAATTGTCATGTGACAGCCCACCTATTATTGTAATGTCTCTGGACAATTAAGCAAGGTGGTGCCAATGAGATTGTAAGTACACAAAGAACTGGATGATAGAGCCAGCTGATGTGGCTAACTAATGTTAGTTTTTGCAGCCATACAAAGCAATTATGCAGAGTTTTGCAGTGACAGGCCTTCCTGCAACCCGGCAAGCTCTCCCCTTGGACAGGCAGAATGCCATTGCCATCAGCCTGAGCACATCTCTTATCGGAAACGGAGGAGATTTGCAAATTCTCCCTGCCCTAGCCTCTCCCCAGCTTGATGTTCTTTATGAACACTTGATGAAATGTATTCTTTGAGCTCTGTAGTAAACTGCAGTCTTTAAGCTTTACGTGTCAGGATATCCAATTCTAGCAGGCCTCCAAACCAGTCATTCATAGGATCACTTCAGTTCTAGGTAATTGTGGAGTGAACATTTCTTGTTTCTCTGGCCATGTTTTAATCATCCTCCCCAAAAGAAGATAAGAATAGCTAATCGGTGAATGTGAATCTACTGGGCTGTGAACAACACAATGGGTAGTTGTTAGGCCGCCAAAGCAAGACTCTGACTGGCTCTTTTTCTGCTTGTCTTATAAGCGTGTAGGAAGGGCGAGGGAGTTAGCCCTGCCTTTCTCGGTGACGTAAGCAGACTGCACAGGACCTTTCACCAGCACCTGGCAGCAAGGACTGGGGACCTTGACTACAGGCTGTCAAGTCCAAGTTTGGCCTCAGAGCTATGGTTTTATATTATGTTTTTAGAGAAGATTAAGTATCAGCCATTCGTGAAGCTGATATTCTGATTGCAACTTGAGTTAGTGAACTTTATGAATATTCTGATAGAATTATGAAGAGTGGAAGAGAGGCAGGAGGGGATATTGATTCTCTAATCTCTAGCGCTTTGAGATGGACAATAAAAAAAATTAAAAGTAGTGAGGAAAACACAGTTTGGGGAAATGATTCATTGAGCGGTAAGGCTAATTTGAACCTGGGTGTTTGATTGAAAGAGGAAAAAAAAATCCACATCTTAAAAATTCCAATTGGTGTTTTAGTTACTTTGAGGTCAGCGTATCACCTCCCCTCTCCCACATCCATCTATCCATCCATCCATCCATCCATCCATCCATCCATCCATCCATCCATCCGTCTGGATGGTGATGGTATCTAGGAACGTACAGATATAATGAGAGGGACCCCTGCATCCAAGGGGCAGAGGTCTGCGAAACGTTCACAACCATCTTCCATGGTTCAGGATCTGCAATTCTGCATGTCAGGGGCATGCGGAAGTGGGAAGCACACATTGCCCTCTCTGTGAGGTGTCTCTCTTTTCTTTGATGCATCTGTGACATTTCTTGGAACCAGAATTCACTTCAAAGACGAATTGATTCAAAGTCATTAAGTTTGTAGCTTGTGCTGTGTCTGCAGGCAACATCTGGGTAGTGACAGTAAAATAAAGAGAAAAAGCAAAAAGCAATTTCTCCAAAGGGTAGTATTCTTCCAAGAGGTTAACGAAGAATTTTTCATGCATTCCAGAGCTGTGGAGCGGCAGTGCATTGCAACATGCTTTTAGAGCCTGCCTGTCCCTGCCGTCAAGGCCCTCCTATCCTTGACATCCCTCTGTGCCCATCAATATAGTGCACAAATAACAAAGGTGGTAGTAGTTTAACTGACCCCTGCTGTGCCCTGAAATTTTGGAGTAAATTGCAAGAGGCTGCTTTGGCTTCCCTGGTACAGGAGAACAACCTCCATTCCCTGCTAACCTTGTCTTATTAGGAGGAGGCAAGGACTTGTCGTAGGGGAAATCAAAGCTGAATTGAGATAATTATTAAAGAACATTAATCTCTAAGCTCTCCTTCATTCCTTTTCTCTAGACTAGCATGGGTTCTCCTGAAGTCTTTCTATACAGCTATTTCAGTATTCAGGCACAAATTTCCTCTTGATATTCAACTAAGGGTAAGCATGATACTTACAATGTTTATAGTATTTTAAAAATCTTTTTAATTAGTCTTTTCATTAATCATTTATTTTTAAAATAATGTTTCCATTACAGTTTGAAAAGATTATACAATCATTATCAAAATTTGGAAGTAAGAGAGAGTGAAAATTAAAACCTGATAGATGTGAAATTGCTATAGTCCAGTTGAGGGCTCAATTCATCAATCAGGTTGCTCAGGGCCAAAAAGACTTTTTATTTTAGATGTATTTCTATATTGCATTTACCACATTAAAAAACATCAAATCATTATCTATAGTTTCACTCCACTGTGCCCAGCCCTTTGCAGCTTCTTTGAGGTATAACTGACAAACATTGAACTACACATATCTAAAGTGGACAACTTGATGAATTATGTATCTATATAGCTATATCTGTGACAGCGTCTCCCAAATCATGTGAATGAATGTAGCTATCCCCTGCAAAAGTTTTCTCATGCTCCTCGTACATCTTTAGGCAACCACTGCTTTCTGTCACTGTAGATTAGTTTGCAGTTTTGAGAATGTTAAGTAATTGGAGTCTTATTTTTTCTGACTTTTTTCACTCAGGGTAATTATTGTGAGATTCCTCTATGTTGTTTTGTATATCCATTGTTTAGTCCTTTCCATTGCTGAGTAGTGTTCCCTTGTAAGAATATACCACAATTTTTTATCCATTTACCTATTGATATACATTTAACTTATTTCCAGTTTTTGACTACTGCAGGTGAAGCTTCTATGAACATTCATGTTTGTCTTGTGTGGACATATACTTTCATTTTTCTTGGATAAATACCTAGGAGTGGAATGGCTGGGTCATATGGTAGGTACATATTTACTTTTTAAGAAACTGGTTCCCAAAGAGGTTGAGCCATTTTACATTTCCACCAGTAATGTAGGATATTTCCATTTGCTCCACATCCTTGAAGACACTTGGTATGGTCAGTTTTTTTAGTTTTAGCCATTCTAGTGGGTGTATTGTGGTGTCTAATTGTGGTTTTGGGTTTTTTTTTTTTTTTTTTTTGAGACAAGGTATTACTCTGTCACCCAGGCTAGAGTGCAGTGGCAGGATTATAGCTCATTGCGACCTCAAACTCCTGTGTTCAAGTGATCCTCCTGCCTCAGCCTCCTGGGACTACAGGCACATGCCACCACTAGCAGCTAATTTTTAAAAAAAAAATTTTATAGAGACAGGATCTTGCTATATTGCTCAGGCTGGTCTTGAACTCCTGGCCTCAAGCTATCCACCTGCCTTAGCCTCCTAAAGTGCTAGGATTATAGGTATGAGCCATTGTACCTGGCCTGTGGTTTTATTAATACTTTGTATTAACCCAATGACTAGCATTGTTGAACATCTTTTTGTATGCTTATTTGACATTTATATATCTTCTCTGGTAAAGTGTTAATCAAAATATTTTGCCTTTTTAAAAAATAAAGTTGTGTTGTTATGAGAGTTTTTTATGTTTTCCAGATACCAGTCCTTTAACAGATTATTTGCAAAGATTTTTTGCCCCAATCTGAGGCTTTCCTTTTCTTTTTTAAAATGGTGTCTGGATGAAGTCCAATTTGTTGATTCTTTTCCTTTCTGTATCCTATTTAAGAAATCTTTGCCAAACTAAGGTCACCAAAGAGTTTTTCCTGTTTCCTTCTAGAAGTTTTTTTTTCTAGGAACATCATGATGAACTATTGCTCTAGAAGCTTTGTAGTTGTAACTCTTATATTAAGATTTATGATTTATTTTGAGTTAATTTTTGTATATGGTATGAAATAAGATGCAAAATTCTTTTTATGCATATGGATATCCAGTTATTCTAGTATCTTTTATTGAGGAAATTACTTTTTCTCTTTTAAATTGTCTTGGTACCTTTGTCAAAAATACTAAACATGTGGTTTATGCTTTATTCGAATCCATTTATTGATTTGTCTATTTGTCTATTTGTCTATTGATTTGCCAATACCACACTGTCTTGATTAATGTAGCTTTGCGAAAAGCTTTATAAGCCCTCTATCTCCTTTCACAAAGTTGTTTTAGATTTTTATGTAAATTTTATAATCAGCTTGTCAATTTCTATCAAAAAATACCTCCTGTGATTATGGTTGGGATCACATTGAATCTATAAAGCAGTTTGGGGAGAACTGACATACTATATTGATGTCTCTGATCTATGAACGTAGTATATCTCTTCATTTGTTTAAGTCTTTAATTTCTCTCAGCAATGTTTGATAGTTTTCAGCATACAGGCCTTGCACATCTTTTGTTAGATTGATTTTTATGTACATATTTAATATTTTTAGATTCTATTGTTTTAGAATTTATTGTTTCCATTTTTGTTTTTTGTTTTTTGTTTTTTTTTTGAGACAGAGTCTCGCTTTGTTGCCTAGGCTAGAGTGAGTGCCGTGGCATCAGCCTAGCTCACAGCAACCTCAAACTCCTGGGCTCAAACAATCCTTCTGCCTCAGCCTCCCAAGTAGCTGGGACTACAGGCATGCGCCACCATGCCTGGCTAATTTTTTCTATATATATTAGTTGGCCAATTAATTTCTTTCTATTTATAGTAGAGACGGGGTCTCGCTCTTGCTCAGGCTGGTTTCGAACTCCTGACCTCGAGCAATCCGCCCACCTCGGCCTCCCAGAGAGCTAGGATTACAGGCGTGAGCCACCGCGCCCGGCCTTGTTTCCATTTTTGGTTGTTTTTTTACCAGTATATAGAACTTTTTTGTAGAGTGACCTTTGTGTACTTACCTTGTAACCTTGTCAAGTTCACTTATTAATTTTATTAGTTTGTAGCCATGTAATCTGTGATAAACACAGTTTTATTTCTTCCTTTTAAATATGGATGCTTTTCATTTTAATTTATTTTTTCCTTTGCATTGAATAGATTCTCCAGTATAATACTGAATAGAAATGGTGAAAACAGATATCCTTGCATTGCTCCTAATCTTAGGTGGAAAACATTCAGTCATTCGCTATTTAGTATGATGTTAGCTATTCTTACTCATTTGTGAGTGTGTCTTTTATAGTATATACACCCATTACATTTTTAATAAATGATATATTAAGTGGAAACCCAGGAATAAGAAATTATCTCCTCTCCACAAACAAAGGATTGTTTGACAAAGAAATCTTGGCGAACCTTACAGTTCTTTGATCCATCACTGGGTGCACATATTCTCCATCATAAAGAGAGTTTATACTTCTCAACTGGAGGAAGGATTTATGAAATATGCCTTGGTTTATGGTATTCTAGATCTCAGTTATGGAGTGAGATTTTCTTGTTCAGGATTGCCCATCTCCAACCCCTGACATTTTCCTCCCAGGAAGGCATCCAACATTATGAGGATACAGGTGTCTGAGGGGCTAGAAAGAAGAAATCTGCTTCATAGTAATTCTCAGGGCATTATTATTTGAATTTATATAGATATAGAGAATCATGGACAAATGACAATGATAGGCAGGAAGGCCATAAAAAACAAGATTTGAGATAGAATTTGAACACATAATTTTTGAAAGGTGATTAGTATTTCTAAGAATCTTATTGAAATTCCAGATATCTGAATTTTCTCTTAAATTCACATGGCTCAAAAGTTTTGACAAAGTCCAATAATGAAGAAATAACCTCAGGGGCATGTATTAAATTCTATCCACTAATACATACGTGCAGAGCCATACTTAAATTTTACATGTAGAACTATCCCATACACTGAAGTTAATAAAAGATATGAAAAATTAGGAAAATAGGACTAGATAATAAATTTAATTTTTCTCCCCTTTTTTTGCAGGCAAAATTTCTCAGGCTTTTTTAAATATCTGACAACATCATGAAAGAAAATGTCTTTTCAACAATTTTTCTTCTATAAATTCACTTTTCATATCATGCTTCTGATAAAAAAAAGGGATAAACAATTCGTAAAAAAAAAAGCCCATCTAAATGGTAAAATATTCTAATAAGTAAGAAGCATTTTTAAGATACCAGTGATTGAGTTAACAAGGGTGGGTGTTGGCTGCATAGGATGGAGTGAGCCCAGGAGGGTTATCATCTGGCTATGAGGCTATTACCATTGGCTCCATCCTAGGTTAGGATTGTTGGGATTGCTTAAGAGCAGGGGTGAAGGAAGAGTTTCAATTTAGAGCACATATCACCCTCTACTCCAGGATCTTTTTGAGACCAATGGAATGTATTAAAAAGACAGCTTGCAAACTGTGAAGAAGAGCTTGTAACCCTTACAGAAGAGAAGTTTTTAAAAATGATTTTTTTGACTTATAGCACAAGTAGTATGAGTATTTTGGGAGACAAATTTAAAAGCATATCTTACCATCCAAGTAAACATAAATACATGCACATATTATTTTGTAACATGCAAATACCCACATATTTTAAAGACAATGGAAATCAATATAGATATTTATCATTTAAAGTTGTTTTGTCATACACTTAAACATTCAAATTAAATTCAATTTTTCATATACTTAAATATTCAAAATCACAATTATTAATATTTTTGTAACATTATATCACATGTACATAATTATTTAATCAATTCCCTATATTTAACAATTAAGTTATTTCTAATTTACAATATTACCATGACTGTAGACATTGGTATTTTTGTGCTTATTTGAATTATTTTCTCATAACAAATTGCCAGATATTAAAATATTGGTGAAGGGTCAAAATAATTTTGAGATTTTGTAGATATTGACAAACTGCTCTCTGGAAAGTTTGAACCAATTTAGTCTCTTGGTGGCAGTAGGTGACAATACTTATTTCATCACACAATGGACCACAGTAAATATTATTTTAAAAAATGTATTTGTCAAGCTGATAGAATAAAATGTTATCTCTGTTTCATCTTGCATTTCTATGGTTACCAGTGATTTTGGACTTTTAAAATATAAACATTTTAATGGTTGTGTTTATTTACTTTTTTATAAATTATTAGTCTTTTATTCGATCAATATTTATTGGTTGTCCACTGTGTGTGATACACTCTGCAGAAGGTGTAATATTTACTAGCAAACAAGAGACAGGTGGTCCCTGCCCTAACGGAGCTTAAAGCTTGGTCAAATCCTTCCACTAATTAAAAAAAATTAGAATAGTTATCTTCTCTTAATGACTCATAAGATAGAGTTATATTAAGCATTTTAACTTTTTGTCATATGTCTTTCAGATATTTGCTTTAGATTGTCTTTTACATTTAAATTTTCTTCTTGGTGGTTTTTGACGTGAGGAAGTGATATAGAGAAATGTAGGAAAATTGGTTTCTCTCTCTCTGGTTTATTTTCTTCTTCTATCATTGACTAGAAAGGTATTCTAAATCCTGGATCACGAATTCACTTATTTTTTCTAGGTCTCTTGAGTATAGCTTTTAGTTTAATAATTTAATGTATCAAAAATATATATTGTTGCATTTTGTAAGGTGGTGATTTATCTTCCCCCTGAAATAGTTAACTCACTATTTTAGCACCATTTATTAAATAACTTTTCCTCCTACTCAATGATTAATCATGACACCTTTATCATATACTAAATTCTTTTTGAGTAGATATGTATTAGATTCTATTTCTAGGTTATTTGGTTCCACCATCAATCTTTAAATGTGTACAATATTACATATTAGAGTGTCATGATATGTTTTATTATCTGGTGGTAAAAGTTCATTTAATTTCTGCGAGAGTCATTCAACCTGTTGTAGTAGCTGCTGGAGTTCAGCCTGATTCATGGGATTGCATGGTTTTTTATGTAAAGATATGTATGTTAAAT